ATTGGCAAACTATCTCATTTACCTACTCAAATTAAGGGTAAATACACTTAATTTAAGAAATTTTTACTTATTTCTAGATCATTTTTCCAGTGTAGATGTAAAATGGACTTAATACTAATGCCTGCTGTTTACGTTTGTATGCTCTGGTTCCTCTTGACATCTATGCACTACTGTGTAATCCATCAGAAAATTGTTTGAGTCGTAATGTGAAAAGATATGTTTTCTTTAAGTTAAATTGCACCTTATGTTTTAGTCTGTCCCGATTCTCTAACAAATGCTTTTATAGAAAACATCCAAAAGGTGCATAATTACCATACAAACTGTAATCAACATCTCATGTGGATTGCATTAAATTCATATACATGAAATCTGTAATGTAAATTGGTTGGATTATATTTCATTTGTACTTATTATACAGCAGGTTTTCCTATCTCCTAATTGGCCCCATGAGGGTTCAGTCTGTTCGCTTTTAGCCAGCTGGGGACAGCAGCTGTCAATCAAACTGCTCTTTATAACTCACCACAGGGGCTGCATCTCTGCGTCTCAGGGTAAAGCAGAGCACAGGCAAGAGCTCCGCTATTAACTCCTGAATGACAGCTAACTACTTCTTCAGCAACCTTTAATCGTTTCTTTGGCAATTACGGAATTCTCCGATTTTTCTTTTTCTTGTGAAATCGTCATCTCTTTAAACATCGATGGATAAGCTGGTTGGAAGCAACGCGACTGTGGAGAACAACTCCTTAAACAAGTGGACATTCAATGAACCTGGCTTGATCCACCATCGGGACCGAAATGAGCTCAGGGTGTTGGTGCCAACAATTCTGGGAGTCATCTGTGTTTTAGGTGTGGCTTGTAACCTCACTGCAATGGTCATCCTGTTCTCGAATGCCCACAGGGGCAAACTATCCCTCATCAATTCACTTATCTTTAACCTGATGTTCGCGGATGGGATGGTGTTGATGTTCACCGTCCCTTTCAGGGCTGTGTCCTACTCCAAGGCGAGCTGGAACCTGGGGTGGGTGGTGTGCAAGACGGCGGACTGGTTCCTTCACTCCTGCATGGTGGCAAAGAGCCTCACGGTGGCTTTCATGGCCAAAGCCTGCAGCCAATATGTGTCAAACCCGACCAGGCAGGTGAGCATCCACCTGGGCGCCATCCTGGTGATTCTCTTCTTCATCTGGCTGTCTGCCTGCTCTGTCACTATTCCACTGTGGCTGTTTGCTGGGATGCACAGAGAGATCCATGGACTTGTGTGTGAGCTAACGGTTCCTCCAGAAGCTAAAGACTTTATGTCTGTGTATGTCAAAGCGTACCCTTTGGCGGTCTTCTGCGCACCTCTTAGTTTTGCCCTGATGTATTTTTGGAAGGCTTATGGCCACTGTCAACGTCGCTCCAGTAAGTCTCAGAACCTGCGCACACAGATTAGATCCAGAAGGCTCACCTTGATGCTTTTCAGCCTCACCCTGGCCATGGCTCTCCTGTGGCTGCCTCAGTGGGTGGTATGGGTTTGGGAGCGTCATCTTGCTGAGAAAGAAACTGAAGGAGTTCAGCCATTGAATTCCTCTCCTCCCCTTTTCCTCACCCTCTCTGCTCAGCTTCTCACCTTCTCTCTGTCGTTGGTGAACCCTCTGATTGTCCTCTTCCTTTCCGAGGAGTTCAGAGAGAGTTACCGGGGGCTGTGGAGGCGTCTCACCCTGCGCAAACAGCCTCCACCAAAACCAAAGTCTGGACCTCACAACCCTACCTCTCTTCACTCCCCTTGTCCCAGACCAGAGACATCAGGGCAGTTGAGGGGAGAGAGGGGGGTCCATCTCAGCTCAAGCCAGGAAATCAGCAGCGAGGCTCAGCCTACGATAGAGCAAGGCAAACATAGATGGGACGGAGAGGCAGACAGGGTAAGCCTTAAAGACGGGATTGTCTTACCGGACGTTGAACAGGTCTGGCAGGACAGGGAGACCGGATTAAACACAGATGAAAACGATCCGGTTCCGTGGGAGAACCAGACCAAAGAAGAGAAAAAATAACAACGACCTGTGAAGCTAATTACCGAAACACCTCTCCCAACTGCTGCAATGTAAATTATTGTTGTGCTTGTCTTCTCTTGTGTGTACGATATTGTTGAAAGGTAAGAGTTGCAATCAGAGTGAGTGTGTAATACAAATAGAGAAGTGTCATCTGCATATGTGATCACTTTTTGCAGTTTGTAAGGTGATCATTAGTAAAACTTTACTATTATTCGTAATAAAAATGCTTTATTTCCACTTAAAGTCTGAACCGTAAATAGTCAAAAAGCAGCTTTTCTGTTTTTGCCCTTACTTAAACTCAATTTAACCTTAAACAGCAAAATATATAGATGTGTAATCATTACGATTATTAACATAGGAAAGTGGTTGTGTGTAGAAATAGAAGTGACGTTGAAAGGTATTTCTTTACTTTAGATATTAACTAGATTCATTTTCAAAGTGTGTCTTAATGGAAAATGTTTTAAATAAACATGCCGTCAAAATCCCTGAGTTGGAGTGTACATTATTGTCGAGTTGGGTTGTATTCCACGTTGGAGCGATTGGTGAGTTTTCCCACACTAATAGAGAGCCTTCATTGGTGGGATTCCCGCTGACACTGAGTCATTAATCATGTTTTCATGGGGAAATCCTTTTGAACTACCAGGGGTTCTAATTAAAGCTTTCGTCTGAGCTTAGGTGAGGTGTCAGTGGTCTCTCCTGTGTGGTTCTAATTAGCTAAATGTCTAAATTGGTTTAAATTAATATATGTAAAGACATCTAGCAATTATTTACCTTTAATTGCTATCATAAATACTGGTTATTTTGTTAGCAGATAAGATCATGAGTGATCAAATTAACAGAATCAGTGTCATTAAACTGTTAAAAAAGTGTAAAAAATGTAAGAAGCATTAATCTTAGTTCCCTAACAACTGGTGTTTTCTCTCTCTTCCTATGTGACATTTCCCCCTCATTGATTATTAATGTTGACCTTTCATTGCCAGAGGAAACTGACTCAATCAGAACAACACATTACTGTGTCTCCCACCATCAGTCCCCGGGGTTCTGACCCGACCATATATAGTGAAGGTGGAGGATAATGGACGCAAAAACATTTAGCCCTGACCGGAAAATAATTCACTTTTTCTCTGAATTTTGTGTTACCAGGTACAGATAGAAACTAAAGGTGTTGTTACAGCTAAAACATTTGATGGTTATCCCCCTCTCTGTTGTTAACACCTCTGGCCTGAGCATTTACCCTGTTAAATCAGCCGGTAAAACTACAGCAGTGGGATTTGATCCAATTTCAGCAAAAAGCCTCGTGCCTTGTAGTGTTAATTTTAGCAGCCA